AAAAGGAAGATTATGAAGTCAAGGCATGCACAAAAAAGTACCTAAAAGATAATACTAATAATAAAGTCTCCTAAGTTGCTTAAACAAACTTAACTTTTAAGATAATAAAAAGAAAGACACAAACCTAAATAACTAACCCCCTAAAAACAATAAGTAACAAGACCTTCAACAACCCCTTCAGAACACAATAAAAAAAATGGTAGGTTCTGTTAAGGTCGCACATCTATAATTCTCCAGAGTGATTTTCATTTTTCTTTTTTCTTTTTTTTGTCTAATTCTCCTGTATTCTAGTCCAGCTGGGAGATCTTGTGACTAAATTAATACGAGAGGAGGTGGGTCGTTGTTTAATTCAAGGCCCTGTTTTTGATGTGGGTTCGAGTTGAAATAAGATCAAGACGTGGGAAAGAAAACACTTGGTCGTTGACATTTCCTTATTCTTTCTTGCTTTACTTCCTCTTCTCTTTCTTACTATTCTTTCTGTTTTTTGTTTGTTTGTTTTTTGTTTTTTTTATCTTCTCTTCTCTCCCTTCTTCTCATTCTTTCCCTGTTTTTTTCTCTCTTTCTTCTTCTTGTTTCTCTGTTTGTTTGTTTGTTTTTTCTTTTCTTTCTTCTTATTTTATTTTCTCTGTTTTGTTTTTGTTCTTTATTTGTTAAGTTCTTTTTCTAATCTTTATTCTTCTGCTCTTTCTTCTCCTCCTCCTTCCCATGCCCTTCTTTCTTCTGTTTAGACGTCCTCTCATCCTCTCATTCCCTTCTTCTCCTTCTCCTGTTCTTGCCTTTTTTCCTTCTTTCTCTCTTCTCGTTATTTTTGTTCTCTGTTGTTATTATCATCCTATCTTTCCCCATCGCCTTCTTTTTTCCCTCTTCTTCCTCCTCCCTCTCTTCATTCTCCTCCTCCCCTCTTCCTCCTCCTAATTTTCCTCCTCCTTCTCCTTTTCCTTCTCCTCTTCCTCCTTCTCTTCCTCCTCCTCACCCTCTAACTCCTCCTCCCACTCTTCCTCCTCCCCTTCCTCCTCTTCCTCCTCTTCCTCCTCTTCCTCCTTCTCCTTTTCCTCCTCCTCTTCCTCCTTCTCTCCGTCCTCCTCCTCCTCCCACTCTTCCTCCTCCTCTTCCGCCTCCTCCTCCTTCTCCTTTTCCTCCTCCTCTTCCTCCTTCTTTTCCTTCTCCTCGTCCTCTCCCTCCTCTTCTTCCTCCTCCTCCTTCTCCTTTTCCTCCTCCTCTTCCTCCTTCTTTTCCTTCTCCTCATCCTCCCCCTCCTCCTCCTCTTCCGCCTCCCCCTCCTTCTCCTTTTCTTCCTCCTCTTCCTCCTTCTTTTCCTTCTCCTCGTCCTCTCCCTCCTCTTCTTCCTCCTCCTCCTTCTCCTTTTCCTCCTCCTCTTCCTCCTTCTTTTCCTTCTCCTCATCCTCTCCCTCCTCCTCCTCCTCCTCCTCCTCCTCCTCCGCTTCCTATTCCTCCTTCTTTTTTCTTACTTTAATATTTATACGTTTTTTTCCATTATTCCAAACGAGATGTCATGATCCCCCACACGCAATTAATTGATTTATCCGTCTTATAGACTCGTTTTATAAAGTTACTTATAGATCCATAATAACGCTGCTAAAACAAGAGGCTGATTTAATCAGTTTTCGGAAAAGTTTTTGATCTTTTAAATGAGAAAAAATAAAAGGATTAGATTTTATAAAAGCTCTGAAAATATATGACAGTAGAATGTTTTAAAAAATGTATGCCGCGCTTTAGCTGAGTCAGGAAAGTATAACTGGATTTGAAAGAAAAAAGACAATAACTTCTAAGCGTCTGTGTGTGTGTGTGTAAGTTTGTTTATTAAGTGTGTCTGTGTGTGTTTGAATGTGTGTGTATTTGTATGTGTTAGTGTTAATTTCTCTGCGTGTATATATATATATAAGAGTGTATGTTAGTATTTATATATTTGCGTGAATGTATGTGTTTCTGTGAGTGTAGCGTGTGCGTGCGAGTGCGCCTAGGGATCCCACATATAACCAGGCCTTAAAACGACCTTCCGGACCCCAAAAACGTTCCATCTGCTAAAACGCCCGCGAAGGGAGAGGAATGCCATCGTAAATGCTAAGGAAGCGGTCTTATTTCAGGCTAAGCGGAGCGGCTAATGGCGTCCGCTGCCGTGATATCCAGCTCCCAGACTAAAAATGAAGCGTTCAAAGAGAAAGAGGAAAGTTCAAAGTTCACGAGGTTTGGCCTGAATTAGGTTTAGTACCATTTTGCGGATTTGTGCGAGAGAAGTCTATGTGTGCGGGGTGTTTTTAACTTTTTCATGTGTATATGTGTGTCTATCTCTCTAACTCTCTCACATTTTCTATCACATATATATGTATATATATAAATATATATATATATATATATATATATATATATATATATATATATATATATACATATATATATATATATACATATATATATATATATATATATATATATATATATATATATATATATATATATATATATATGTATATATATATAT